AATCATCTTTAACAACATTTACATGAATAATCAATATAACTGATCAGCTGATATTAAATTAGCGTGTACGCTGTATTAAACAAGCGAATTAGTAGCTCCATGAGGATCGAGGCTTATTTTGCTTATAAGTATTAAGACAATAGTGTTTAGGCGTCGTGAACAGTATTTAACAGGAGATATACTCAATCTACTGCAGACTAAATAGCTCTCTTCAAAACGTGTCACTCCTCCAGATGAATAGTCCTCAATGTCAGCTTATATGAACGAATATTAATAATCATTGAGAAAGAATGATGTTTAAGATCATCAGTTGAGTTTCACTAAATTATCATCCAAGCTTGTTAAGGTCTGAGGAGGTAATAACCTGTGTTGATCTGCTAATAATGGCTAAAAGCAACGAGCTGGCATTGAGGACTATTCATCTGGAGGGGTGATACTTTTTGAATAGAGCTGTTTAGTCTGCAGTAGAGGAGGTATTTAGCTCTCATGGAAGACATTTTTAGTCCAGAATAGGAGCGTTTGGACTGGCGAGTTAACTACAGAGGCATTCTTGTAATCTTATTATCGGAGCTTTCATTGCGAAATTATTATGTCTCAGATAACCAGTTTAGTTTGACTAAACTATCGTCCATTATCTTACTATATATAAAGCGAGACGATATATATGTATATATCGATGGATGGATCCGTGCCATTTTACTGACACCACGGCATCAACTTTAACGCGACTTTCCGCAAAAACCGTAAAAGATATACAACTGAAACTTTTTTGACTGGGTCAAATGCTTTAATGGCCTTCAAATCAGCATGAAAAATAAAAATTGGCCAAGGAATAAGAATTTTAGTGCCCAAAATTTGGACCCCTAAGTGGTGTCAAAAACGAGATTTAAATAGGTAATAATTATTTTAGTCTCTCGAGGCTTGACACCACTTAAATAATTAAATTTGCAGGTAATCAGCACTGTTGTGCCGTGTGGTCGGTCAGCAGACTTTATAATTCGATAGAGAATAAATGTTAACAACTTAAACATCCTGCACAGTAAAAAGTAAAGCTATTAACCTGAAAAATTAAACTATGCCGCAATATAAATTATGGAGTGGGTATAATTGTGGAGAGAGTTAGAAGATGAAGTTTAGCACGGAGCTGAGTAAAAATAATTATGACTATTAGCTTGGAACCATGTCTCAACAGACGGGTCACACACAAGGTCACGCACAGACTCAGGTAGCGGGGCTGGTTATATCATCACCACTGACAACAACAACACTACCCTAGAGAAAAAATCATTCAAGCTTCCTGATTATTGCACTGTTTATCAAACAGAGCTCATTGCCATCATCGAAGCTTGTAAATATCTCTCAACTTATACCAACACACACACACACACACACATCATCATATGGTCAGACAGTCTCTCCTCTATTCAAGCTATATCCTCAATCTCAACGAGAAGTAGAACTACTAGAGACTGTTACGACACCCTCAATACACTCGGATCCACTAACACCTTCCCACATCCAGAAACACGCCATCTTGCCAGGCAGCCTGGGAGGACATTTTTTTGGGAGGAAAAAACGGGAGGAAAAAGAGGAAATTTGTAAAAAAATCAAAGAGGAACATCCTGTCAGTTTTGGAATACAGTGAAATATTCTGATTTGAGAATGCAGATTGCTGTTGTGAAGTTACCAAATTTACGTGAACTTCAGATTCTTTTCAATCCCAGTTTATTGCTGTCCTACAAATTTCTTTAATGCCAAATGTCGTCTAAAACACCCTATTTCGCAAACATTTTCCGGGGGGCTGTGCCCCCTACCCCCCGCCAAGGGGCTCCGCCCCTGGACCCCGCTGGGGGCTGCGCCCCCAGACCCCTGCCACAGCTTGCTCGCTTCGCTTGCTGCGCAGCTGGATAGTTTCAAGTTACAGGAGTATCAGGAAGTGGGTTTTCTGGAACCCCTGTAATTCTATTAGAATTAGAACACACTTTATTAAAATCATTTTGGACGCTGATTCCATATGACGGGTAAAAATGCTTCCCTGGAGAGTTATGGGCAACAAAACTTTTTGGGCACGTACGTGACAGGCTAGTAAAACACGAATTTGATTATTTAGGACTCGGGTTAGGGTTAGGGTTGTGGTTAGGGTTATTCATAGCTTTGGGTTTATGGTTAAGGTTAGGGTTGGGATTAGGGTTTATGTAAAACCGTTTTGTTCGGCTGCAAAACCATAAAAACCAATGTCATGTGATAATTTTTGGGCGAGTGAATTTAAGCAAGACTAAGATTTGTCTAGAAAGAGACTCTTTTGTTAAGGGAATCCTCAGGTGGAGTATATTGTGTTCAAGATGAAATATTACCTCTTGCTTCTGCAAGATGCAGGGACGCGAGACTCACAACCACTAATAAAAGAAACATAATGTAACATAATAGAAAGAAATGTGATTGATGATCATAACACCGTTGCTCCAATCAGCACGTCTTGGAAAGATGTCTGTTTATTACAATCGCAAACTTTGTACATTTACTATCACGTGGACCGTGGCTACTGTATACTAATCCATTATATCACGAGGTCCGGCCGTATGTGTTATATAATATATTGAACAACATACTGAGCAATATTCTACAACTTAAGGGGATTAACCCTAAATTTGTTGTGAAACTTGTTTTCGGATTGTAGTTGATTGTCGTATGCCCAAATATGGATATATGGTTTTGTTGTATACAAGTTCAGGAAACCTCTTCCTAAAAGTAAAGCGCTTAAATTCTGGGATTTTGGGCAAGTTGGGGTAATTTAGGCTGGGACCCCCTCGAAAGTTGAGACACTAGTTTGTTGGTCAACTACTACCAAGTGTATAAGAAAGATGTAAAAGGATGACGTGACCCCCCCCGCCCCCCCCCCCCCCCCCCCCCCCCCCCCCCCGTGACTCGTTCTCTGTTTTATAGATCTGGTACATTGTTCGCTCGGAATGTTGTTCAATATAACACATACGGGGTGATGAAGTGATCACTGTGGATTAGTCTACCCAGCGGTCTCCAGTACTCTGTCTCTATCGGGTCCTTCAACGTTAAGCTGTTAAGCTGATGTTGTCGTTCTATTGTTTATATTGTGTAAATATAGTGTGGATACATGCGAATATATATTCTAAATAACTGAATTGTTTATATTATCTCTATAATAGACGAAATAACGTGCGCTCATTGGTCAGATATTTAATTGATGAACCAATGGACGTGGCGATCTGAACAGCGAGTCTCTTAACTTTATTTCTGCACTATAACCATGCTTGTATAGAAGAGAATTTATCACTACAAGTTGACCTTTAATTGTTTGTTAACACAATTGGAAACTATGGGAAGATGTAAAGGGATGACGTGTTCCCCTTATAGATCTAGATTGTAGAATATGCTATTTAGATATTGACCACATTTGATATAATATTAATCGCAAACGGTCGGATATCGATTTTAAACCGAGTGGCAAATAGGATTAGGATAATTTAAATTTTCGAAATTTTCGACCGCCAGTTGCTAGAAATTTTCAAAAAATTATTCAGTATCCAGGAGAAACCCGACCAGTCCGTGGACTACTTATGACATGCTGGTAAGCAGATCATACCAGCTCAAAAGGTAGGTCTGTCTTCCGAGATGATCGCATTGCAAAGGGTAACCTCAATTCCGAACATTTATTGAAAACGGTTGATTACAGAAGGGAGGAGGGGATAAGAATTACCAACAAATTAATTCCGTAATAAGTATGTGAACGACCCCTTACTATCATGTCAAAAGTAGTCCGCCGACTAGGTCGGGCTTCTTTGATACTGCCCTAGGATCTGTTATTTGTCTTGATTGATATGTCATTGTACGGTTCTTTTGCGATAGTCAAAACGCAACAACTAGCGCTGGATGGCGACAATTAGCGCTATCCAGCGCTAGTTGTCGCCACCCAGCGCTAGTTGTCGCTATCCAGCGCTAGTTGTCGCTGGCTATGCGACACTGTCGCACCCAATAGTTTGGGATGGCCAGCGCAACTGGCCATCGCAGAAAACAGTTCGATAACTAGCGCTGGATAGCGACAACTAGCGCTGGATAGCGACAACTAGCGCTGGATAGCGACAACCAGCGCTGGTCCAGCAGGGGCCCTGTTTTACGACAGATTGTCGCCCACATCCAGAAACACGCCATCTTGCCAGGCAGCCTGGGAGGAAATTTTTTTTGGGAGGAAAAAACGGGAGGAAAAAGAGGAAATTTGTAAAAAAATCAAAGAGGAACATCCTGTCAGTTTTGGAATACAGTGAAATATTCTGATTGGAGAATGCAGATTGCTGTTGTGAAGTTACCAAATTTACGTGAACTTCAGATTCTTTTCAATCCCAGTTTATTGCTGTCCTACAAATTTCTTTAATGCCAAATGTCGTCTAAAACACCCTATTTCGCAAACATTTTCCGGGGGGCTGTGCCCCCTACCCCCCGCCAAGGGGCTCCGCCCCTGGACCCCGCTGGTGGCTGCGCCCCCAGACCCCTGCCACAGCTTGCTCGCTTCGTTTGCTGCGCAGCTGGATAGGACACGTCGGCTCGCTTCGCTCGCCAACAGCCTCCCCCAAAGAAAAATCCTGGCTACGTCCCTGCTCGTGAATTGGTCCAGTGTTAAAAATTTGCGAGCGAAACGAGCGGGCCACAGAAAAAAGGCAAACTTGCGAGCGAAGCGAGTGGGCCACAGAATTAAGAAAAAACCGCATCTGGGAGGAAATATAAAACTTTCTGGATGTGGGAACACCTTAGAAATCAGATGGATAGCTGCTCACTTCGGATTGTGGGGTAATGAAAAAGCAGACGAGCTGGCCAAAATTGTAACAATAGTACATGCGTGGGAAATGGTTAATGGATATATTATAAGCCTCAAAATATGTTTAATTTATTCCGGCTATCTCTAAGCTGACCTAATAAAAATTTATAAAATAACTGATAAAATTAAAACTAAAAGGCCTTATCAAGAAACTTACAGGATGCCCTCGACTGAAAATACCTCCAGCTCCTTTCATAATTGTATCTCTGATTTTAGATACTTTGTCAGCAGTCTGTTCAACTAGCGGCTGAAAGAAATTTCTAGGTCAAATTTAATACTCAAACCCGAATTTGGGATTCCTCCATGAATCATGCTTAATGTAAGAAGAACAGTTTGATGAGTTGAGTTAAAAGTTCAGATTACATCGAATCTATGTAAAGAGAAGCTAGAGGTACTGGTCACAGAACCAGTACTGTCACATCGCTCTAGGGTGCTTAGTTTGTCTGTCAGTTTGTCTGTCAGTTTGTCTGTCAGTTTGTCTGTCAGTTTGTCTGTCAGTTTGTCTGTCAGTTTGTCTGTCAGTTTGTCTGTCAGTTTGTCAGTTTTGGTTTTGTCCGTAGTATTCCTTTCTCGCAAACTTTCGGTGAAACTCTGTAGTGATCAATATAAAGCTTTGATATGAAAGGAAAAAGCGTTAATAATAGTACTGGCAACTATTGTGAGTATAACCCTTAACCATGGCCTTGTAACACTGTAACTATGTTATTAACTATAACAGTATAACACCTGTAACCATGTTAGCATCTGTAACCATGGTGATACATGTAACTATGGTGACACTCACCTGTCCGACGCAGTCAAATACTTTAGTTCTGCAGCCGTTGTGTACGTTAACTTTACATTTGTTGCACTGGTAAACCCGCTGTAACATCGTGGCTGAAAAAAATTCAGATTAAAAAGATTAGGCGAATTTAAAAAGATAAGGCGAATTTCTAGAACTGGAGATTCGACGAGATTTGTATCATCCTCCCTCCTCCTGACTCAAGAAGTCGTATGAAATAAGAGTTATTGAATTTTTCAGTAAACTCACTGTCTGTAAGATAACCTACACTGTCTGTAATAACCTACGTTTTTGACAATGATCACATGACTTCATCTCCGTCATGCTGAGTTGAACCCACTCATGTTCACCTTGTTCTGAAGTGTTAATATCGTCACTATTGGTAACGGGTTTTTACTGAGCTGTAATAACATGTTGTTCATATGAATAAATAATCTATCAGCTTGTAAAATAACAATGGTGAAACAGTCCTTTTATGGACTGAGAACAAGATCAACACACGCAAATAATGGTTCCTGAGTGAAACTGACCTATAATGCTGTTGATACTTTTATTGTCCTCGTCATCAGAAAGTGAGCCACTGTTCACAACCCCAGACTCCTCCAGCAGTCTTAACTGAAATAAAATACAGTTCAGAGAAAACGTATTAAGTATTTCTAGAGAAGATTCCGTAGATGATAACTTACTGCGATTGAAAATATTTTGAGACGTGTAAATTTAAGACGATTGAACAGACAGTCACATTTATAGATTATTAACCTATAGTTCCCCAGCTGTTGTAGTCAAATGAACCGTAATAATTAGAATCTGAACCTTGTGGGCATGGAATAAACTGGTTTTATTTGTATTCTCGAAAAATTGCCTACAACATTGACTAAAAATGTAGCCTGTGAAGAGGGATCGAAGACTTTTTTAATGATTTTATTATCATCCATCATATTTTTCGATCCAACAAAAAATATTAAGTAAAACCGCTTGAATTTTCTTTTAAAACGGATTAGGTTATAAACAGAAGTTATACACATTACACAGGACGATCAATATAATACAAATATATAACAAACCAAAAAAACCGTCATTTACATAAAACGATAATAATATCTCTTAATTCAAAATTCGACATTCCCCATTTTCTATCCTTATATAACCCTTTGTTATAGCTAATAAAGGAGCTGTTCTTCTCTAATGTTTTAGAGCTAGTCATTACCTTACATTTATCATTCCTGCATTTTCGTGATGGTGATCTTCGTGATGGTGATCTTCGTGATGGTGATCTTCGTGATGGTGATCTTCGTGATGGTGATCTTTGTGATGGTGATCTTCTTGATGGTGATCTTCGTGATGGTGATCTTCTTGATGGTGATTTTCGTGATCGTGATCTTCGTGATCTTGATCTTCGTGGTCGTGATCTTCGTGATCGTGATCTTCGTGATCGTGATCTACGTGATCATGGTCTTCGTGATCTTCGTGATGGTGATCTTCGTGATGATGATCTTCTTGATCGTGATCTTCGTGATCGTGATCTTCGTGATCGTGATCTTCGTGATCGTGATCGTGATCTTCGTGGTCGTGGTCTATATGATCTTCGTGATCTTCGTGGCATGTTTTGCATTGTTTTGCGCACATAACTGTGAGAGGGTTTTTCTTCATGGGGCACCGAGAATTGCAGAAGTTGCCGAATTCTGTGCAATATTCCCAGTTATCATCACAAGATCCAGCTGAAAAACAATAGGTTTTTAAGATATAAGAATAATGTAGCTATTTGTTAACTCATCTGTTGTTCTCAGTTTGAAAGCATGGCTGACTGAATATATAATTTATTACGAACTGTACGAGTACAATAATTGAACTTATTTTTACAATTAGTTACAGAATTACAGGAACATCGATCATGGGACATAGCAATGAATGTGATATTCGGAAAATATCCTCACCTGGGCTTTCTAGCAGCATATCCCTGGTAGCACCGAACATGTACATTTTCCTAACCAACTCCCCACTCTTAGCAAGAACACACTCCATGTTACTGATCTGTGTGCACTCAGTGAGGAAGGCTCCTACACAGGCCTGGTCAGCTAAACACTTCTCCTGACACTCCTTTACTGTTGTAAACTTGGAGCGGGACAGAACATCTGACTCCTCGTACCCGTGGTAGTATTTCCAAGCTGGAGGTCCGCTCATCAGATCAGATGTGGTGAGAGGTGAGTCCTCAGAGATGCACAAACCACAAGTTTCAGGACAGTTCTCCGTCATCCACTCAGAGTAAAGCCCGTCATCACAGAGTTCACTACAGTTGGTGCACTGGGCTGATGTGTCTTTACACTCTCCTGACTGGAACATCTCCTCTCCAGTTCCCCAGGGCAGCTGGGTGTTGTCTTTAGCTGGACAGGAGCCACTCTGAGCTGCATTTAAGCTAAGGGTTAGAGCGAGGAGGAGGAATCTTAGTGAACAGTGAGAGGAAGACATATTCCAGGTTGCACAATCAGAAGAGAAGTGGTGAGATAATGAGGAGTTGAGATTAGAGCACGGGTTTTATATGATAATTGTCAATTAAGCTGGCCTTTTGTTCTAAATTCCTTGCTTTATTCAGGTTTCAAAACTATTGTGTTGTTATATGTTTTCAAAGCTTTATAATATTTAACAAGCTCTGAATTGAGTTAGGAAGAAGAAAGAACATCAAATTAATTTTAAGCGAATCAGTATTAACAAATAACAATATATAAACATTAAACAATCACAAAAGTTTTAACTAGCCGTTTCTTTGTGTTAAATCCTGCGTGATCTTTGACGAAGTCGAGGTCTTTGTTGCGTAGGGAGTTTCACCATGTAGATGAACTCAGATATCTTCGTTTTGAGAAAATGTCTAAAACTTCGCAAGGTGAGAGAGTACACGAAGAAATTAGACATGATATTGAGATATGTAAGGTATATTGCAGCTCGGTATGCTGTATTGCTGTGCTCCATTCCCAATGACGATGACACTATCACCACCATCGAAGGTATATAGGAGACAAGGAAAACTCCCAAAGTTAGAAGCACTGTCATCACACCCTCCCATCTCAGAATCTCTCCGTGGCGGGAACCAGCTCTCTTTGCCACGATCAGGAGAATAAGTGATGTTGCTGCCAGAGTGACATATGACAAGATACTGACCGCAAGAAATATGATTGAAAAAGACGACATATACCACGAAGGAAGGCTGGACGAGAAGTAGTCATAGTTACAAGTATATACACAGTAACTAAAATGTATTGTGTCCCTGTCGTAGAATATGTTGACCACTAGAGTTGGACAATACAAGCCCAACTCAAGGAGCCACATAGCAGTACAGATACTATGTCCAAACCTCATGGACCAAGCTCCCGTTTTCAGGGGAAACTTAACGATTATCAACTTCAGTGTACACAAAGTACATGTCAGGTATGTGGTCACACCTCCACAGATATACGTCATGTTTTCAGTCGCGTGACAGAGCAGCTCACCCCATATCCAGCGATCTGCGATAAAAGCCAGAATGATGGGGAAGACTCTGAATACAGTCTGCAGGATATCACTTCCAGCCATGTGCTGTATCACTGTCACTATTACCTTGTGTTATTTGATAGCGTCATGTTTGATAGTCGCTACAAGAATGATACTGTCTCCTATTAAAGATGCTAGCAAAACAGTCAAGCTCCACAAAATCAAAATGTATCGCTCTCTCTCATCAACTATCTCATTCAGAGTCTTGTTGTCAGTCTGCATATTTTTATGGAGTCTTCCTGGTCATTGGGAGACGGTTACATAACATATTACAATACCTCTCAATGACAATATGTTGCATATATGTGCATTTAACAACTCCTGCTTCAAGATACAACAATAATAATAATACCAACAAATGTCCAGTATTGTTTTGCAACAGAGAACAGAGAGACATCAGATCGGTTAAAGTACTCAATGCGACTCATACAAAACGTTGGGATGGCAGTGAATTAATGAACCTCATCCTTTTATTAAAGAGTACCAGAAAAGCAGAGCCTGCTAAAATATTCGGTGAAATTTTGATTTTCGATTATCTTAGACTTAGATTTGCGATAACTATGCACGTGATCTAAAATGTAAAATACCATTGGTTGTGGGAGTTGATAGATGAATACACGGCATGAAATTTGTTCTTTAGTAGATACAGCTTCTCCTAGAGGATAAAGCATCATACAGTCTTCCTCATGAATCCAACTTCATCATATTAAAAGGTGATCACACCTCACGGATTCTGACTTGAATCTTCATTTGAAAAAAATTAACACGAATATTTTTCGAGTTGACAAATTCCTCGAACCAGTGGTGGTACTAAGTTATACCAGAAAGAATTATTTCAATCGGGCACTCAGTGACTGAGCTATAAAAGTATAAAGGCCAACGTATGGGTACTGACTTTTGGCTTACCCTGTAATAATCTGGATACTTCGGCGATGAAATAATAAACTCGATGACAAAAACAGCAGGCGATGCTCTGGTAATTGCTATTGCTCTTATTTAAGATTACTGAGGCTGCAAGTGTGAAGGGATAAGATCTACAAATGGTTCCCAATCCACACATCATTCGAGTCTTTCACTACATTATAACTGCGCTGTCTCTGTTGTTATCGCCTACTGTCATGACGTGTTTGTACAGGGTGGGCCAAAAGTCAGTACCCATACGTTGGCCTTTATAGCTCAGTCACTGAGTGCCCAATTTAAATACTTCTTTCTGGTATGACTTAGTACCACCACTGGTTCGAGGAATTTGTCAACTCGAAAAATATTCGCGTTCATTTTTTTCAAATGGAGGTTCATTTTCACATTTATTTGATAGTTTGGATAGTCGGATCAAGCTAAATGTTATTGAATTGTGTTTGGCCATTCGAATTACGTTTGTCCTGAAAGAATTAGAACTGTAGCTTCTCAGATGACCGAGATATGAAGCATAACGAGTTTATTCATTACGTGTGATCAGGTGATTGGTTTACCTAATCACGTGATAAGGTGCCCCCGCTAACTACCCCGTTAAACATTATGGGAATTGTTAAGGGTGCCCAATGAAGGTGTCGTGTCACGGTGTCACATAATAACCCAGTCAATATTGTTAACGAGATACAGAAAATGCTTGATAACTTCGTCATTTCTAATCCGTTTTGCCTCATGTTTTCAGATCATATGCAACATTTGATAATCTACCGTCTCTGAAAAAAATTAGGCGTTCAGTATGTTTAGAGAAAACAATATAGGTGTTTTAATATTGTAGGGGCGTGGTCTAAAATATTCGAATTTTCAAATTTTGACGACGGAATCCTCGAACCAGTAAGTACAGTATGCCATCTGCAAAGCAACAGCTCTCAAATATAAAACACGGCGGAGCTATTAAGGCCAACGAATGGGTACTGACTTTTGGCCCACCCTGTACTTTGTAGGCATTTTGATATTGAGCGACGGTGATGGTGCAATTTGTAAATCATACTGATCAATCTTCTGAAATGAAGGAATCAATTTTCCGGAAGAGTTGTTTCTCAAGTCCAGTATGTAATATAATTACTATCCCGGCCCATGCAGTCAGATCGTGAGATCACATCCTTTTACAATCTACAATCTCCATG